GTAGGATGGTTGAAAGAGTGAATTTTGACTAAACATGGCGACTTTCATGAACGTGGAACGTCGTCAAAAGGTGTATTCAGCTCGAAGAACACACTAGGATAGGGAATATCGAAAACTTTTCAGGTAATTAACTTTTATTTATGCATAAATTGTGCAGTGCGTTTTTTCTAACACGGGCCATAGAGATTCCCATCTCAAGTTGTTTACCTCATACTAACTTATATTTTGGTGACTTGATTTTTTCCTTGATGGTTGAATAATGCCACTGTTTTCCTTTTTTGTTGTATCGGGATGCTACTTGAGCATCAACTGATGGTACCTACTGAAGTATTAGCATCATCTAGAAAAACTAGAAACATTTTGATTTGATATTCGAGTAGATACTTCGTATTTGGAGTATAAGCATCTATTTAGTTTTATTCAAACCAACCATTGCCAAAAGATTGGTCGAACGTTATTTCGACAGAAATTCCTTCGCACCAATTGTGACGAAAATGGTCAACACCCCAGAAGGAGATATTGAGCTTCATACCTGCTTCCGAGGGTTTCAGCGTACCAAAGGACCCAGTTCAGTTGTACACTTGACTTATCTGTTGTTTTTTTTTTTTATTTGAATGTCCCCGTTCAATGCCAAGGAAACCGCCCTTACCTGGAATCCCCCTGATATTTCACTGTATGATCTCGAGTCATTTTTTTAACTTTTTGAGTCTTTTGTACTTGATAAAAAAATATATTGCTTTTAGGCGACTTCAATGTACCAAATTTTATCAACAGCACAAAAAAAGAGTCGAAATCGGAGGTAATTGTTAACTTTCTACATTATTGTAATTATGATCAATTTAATACTGTTACTAATAACAATAACCGTTGCTTGGATTTAGTTATTAGTGATTTTCAGTGTAATGTGTCACGAGGGTGCAGTCCATTGCTTACTGAAGACGGTCATCATCCCTCTTTGCTGATTGAGTTTACATTAGTTAAACCAATTAATAATAACTTTCCTTGTACTTCTAAATCCAAAGTGTATAACTTTAGAAAAGCAAACTTTCCAAAGCTCTATAATGCTATTTTGAATCTTGATTGGTCTGAGTTAGAAAAATGCACTGACGTCAATGAAGCTGGTGATGCTTTTTATAATAAGGTATATGCTGTATTCGACCTATATGTCCCATGCTATAGAAACAAATGCTTTTCTCGTTCATATCCTCCATGGTACAGCAAAGAAATAATAATTAACATAAAAAATAAATTTAAATGTTATGAAAGATATAAAAAAAGCGGTGATGCATTCCAGTTACAAAAGTTCAAAGATTTAAGATCGCTAATTAAGGCTCAAATGTCTGCAGCCTATCGGATTTATATTGATAATGTGCAACATAACATTTCAGTTGATCCAAAAAAAAAATTTGGAGTATATTCAAAGCAAAAAGGGAAGTACTAGAATTTCAAAGGTAGTAACCGATGAAAAACATAGTTCGCATGAAACTCCTGATGATATGTATAGTGAACAGTTTTGCTTCATATTTTAAGAGTGTATATGCTGTGCCTGATACTATCTCAGCCAACGTGTCCCCTGAGCTGAACCATTCTCCCCAACATGTGGTTGTTTCTAATATAACGTTCGATGAAATTATATCAGCATTAAAAAGTTTAAAAAATAAACCAACAGCGGGTCCAGATCAAATACCAAGGTATCTAATTAATGATTGCAGATATACTTTGCTCAAACCTCTTCACATCTTATTTAACTTAGCACTATTTGCTAACACTTTTCCAAATACCTGGAAAATTGCCAAAATTTGTCCAGTGCTAAAAACAGGCAATCTATCATTAATTTCTAACTACCGCCCAATTTCCGTTCTCAATAATTTTGCGAAAAGACTATATAACTGCATTTATAATCAAATTAAACAGTTTGTATCTCCACAACAACATAGGTTCATGGACAAAAGATCTACAGCAACAAATCTTTCTTGCTTTACCCAGTACGTGGCAAATGTGTTCGACAATCAAGGGCAAGTAGACGTAATTTATACGGACTTCTCAAAAGCTTTTGATAAGATTAACCATGAACTTCTGTTGCAAACTCTTTTTTTTATTATTTAGGTCATATTTAATTAAGCAACCGGAAACAATACGTCACATACAACGGTTTTAAATCTTATGATGTTACACCCTGTTCAGGCGTGCCCGAACAGGGTGTAACATCCGTCCGTTATTATTTATACTTTTCATCAATGACATTACAGATATTTTGAGACCTAATCTTTTGATACACCTCCTATTGTTTGCTGATGACCTCAAGATTTCTTCCAAAGTTACATCTATTACAGACTGCATTTTACTGCAAAATGTTTTAGTGAAGATTGTAACCTGGTGTGTCAAAAATAAGTTGCCGCTCAACATAAGTAAATGTCATGTGGTTAGTTACACCCGCAAAAAGAATATTGTTCATTTGATTACAGTATCTGTAACACATCTTTAATCCGATGTAACGTCGTTAAAGATCTAGGAGTTATATTTGACAGTAGTTTCACTTTTGATGACCATATCGCACATATCACTACTTCTTCTTTAAAAATGCTGGGTTTTGTAATAAGCAGTTGTAAAGTATTTGATGATATCGAAACTCTTAAACAAGTATACTACTCTTATGTCAGATCTAAATTAGAATATTGTTGTATTGTTTGGACGCCGTATTACTATTGTCAAAAAAACGCATTGGAAAGAGTACAACGAAAATTTTTGAAATTTCTGTATTTTAAGGCTTTCAGTATCTATCCGCAAAGAGGCTTCGATCACGCTACCCTTCTGTCAAAATTTGATTTTAAGACGTTAGAGTTTAGACGTAAGATTGCACGGAAAAATAGATTGTGCACATCTCATTTCACTGTTTGATTTTCACATACCTCGAGTAAGTACTAGATCCAACTTAACGTTTCGGTTACAAGTAACTAAAACAAATGTGTTAATTAAGTCACCAATCTATGTAAAGTCGAATTTATTTAATCAAATTTCCTTGGTTTCTGATCTTAACTTTTCATTGCTATCTGACATATTGCATGCAGCTAGCTACTTTTTCAGTAATAATGAATAATGTAACTTGAGTTAATCTTATATTTAATATTATTATTATTAGTATTATTATTTATTTAGTTTACTTTGATCTTTCTTTTCTTTGAATTTTATTTTTTGTTATGTTTTATTATCCATAGGGTGCATACATCGTTACATTGTGTGTATTGACCCTTTTCCTGTAAGATCGTAAAACTTCCATAGTGACTTTCCGTGCGCACGCATCTTCAAAACTACGTATCCGGCACTCCAGCAGCAGAGCAAAGGCCTGTGACAACAAACCGCTTTGACAGAATGCAACCAGCTATACATGCGTAATCTGTCGCTCATTGGTTAATTTTAACTTGGCGCTCCAAAAATCTGACTTCGCCTGCGCGATGTTGTCTCCCTCTGTATCATTGGAATTTATATAATGTCTACTCACTTTGCTTACAGAAAAAGGGTCAATTACGATGCATTATAATTTTTGTTTTTTTTTGTCCTGTAATTGGATTTTCTAATCTGTTGGGCAAATAAAGATTATTATTATTATTATTATTATTATTAATGAATTTGTTGAAACCTAGATAACTATAATGAATTTTCTTTAAAATTGATTTTAATGATTTGGGGATTACATGGAGGTTGTTTTTAAAAATTGGTCGAAGGTTGTTTCGACAGAATTTCCCTCGCCCCTGAAGTAGAATAAAACATATCCAGCATTTCCAAAATTTATAAAATTTGATTGCGCTAATTTTACTTTTTATGAGAACCCCCATAAGTTGAAATAACCAAATTAACATATTTAACATTAATTATATACATGGCACATATTTAATGTGAAAATAAATCCAAAGAAGCCTGCTACGCATATGTTTAAAATGAATTTGTACTTCAGAAAATTTTGTGATAATGACACCAACATTTTTGTAAGAACACATATACAGGGTTAGTCACGAGAGAATTACTTCTGAAAATTATTTTTACGCAACCCAAAATACGAATACCATGTACCATTTGATACTAACTGAATTTAAAATGAAATGCTTAATTCATGATTGCTGTGAGTTTGGCAATCTCATTTTGACAATTGTGGAAAATGAGGTTACGCGAGTGTCCATGGTGGTACCGCAGCCAGTCGGAAATCTCCTCCGGCGCCGCTAATAAATTTGTCAGTGTGCCTCTTGATCTTTTACAACCGATTAATCACGAGAAAATTATTTCTAAAAATTCCTTTTACGGCATTTTATTCAAAGGTTACAACACAAACTCAAACAGGTAAGTAAATAATTTAACTACTAATCTGTTGAAAATGTTGGGCTTTTTTGTAAATGGATGGCTGAAGAAGTCCAGAGGTTGCAGATTTGCACTTCAAAGAGGCTCTAGGTGACGCAGAGATGGCGAATTAACACATGCACATTAGCGGCGAACAACATTGGTAGAGCACTTACGGCTTCAGTATAGCCCAGATTGATCTGACTGTATGTCGTCGATCCAATGGGGCTCTAGAGGCGAGTCAACGATGAAAAAAAATGTTAAAAATTAATTAACGTCAAAGTCAAAGCAATCATGGATTAGGCATTTCATTTTAAATTTAGATAATATCAAGTGGTACAGGGTATTAGTATTTTGGGTTGCGTAAAAATAATTTTCAGAAGTAATTCCACAGCATAGATATCAATCAGTAGAGACAGCTCGTGTCGGCGCCTTTGTTCTTTCTGACCCGAATTTTAAGCCGTCATGGGTGGTCGTTGCCTAAACTATTCCTAGATGTCGCCACCCAATTTAAAAAGCATCGCCAACTCCATCAATCTCTCGAGATAAGGCCGTTTCAATTTTTCATTTTCCATTGATAAAAATGTTCCCGTTTGATGGACATATAGTGTCGCCACCAAACGGTTACATTACTATATACTTAAAGTAAACTGCTAAACTGACAGCGTGTTGACAACAGAGGTTGACAGCGTTAGTTTATTAGAGTTGTGAAGAAATATTTTAGAAAAACAAAGCATAATTTTTATTTTGTTTCTACACATAAATAACAATAATAATTAAACCAAAATTGCTGGTTATAATTTTAACACTTTTCGGCTCGAAGGTTTATTTTTCAAACCTAATCTCTTTAACGAATCCGTTGTTCTTAAACAAATATTATCGAGTACAGGTTTTGCAGCTGTAGTTATAATAAATCTGCAAACTGCATCTCTGTGTTCAGTGCAGGAGAATATAGTGTTTTTAAGAAGGTGAGGATGTATCCAGTCAATTAATTTTTTGCAAATATTTTCCCCTTTCAGGCAAGGTACTAAATTTTGAATTGTTGATGTTAATTTATAAATAACGCCAACAAAACGCTCGTTAGGGCTTATTAGTCCGCCTAGATTTTGATAAGTAATTAATTTTAAAAGCGGTCCTGGTGTTGTTGTGGATAAAAATTGTCTGCTACATTCATCACAAGCAAATTTTTGTTCTACCTTCTTGATAATATATCCGGACAAAAATGCAACAGATGCAGACATAATATTATTTGCAGGTATGAAATATTCACTCAAGTGGTAGATTTCATCTCTTATAATGATGGGTAAGAGTATCTCCTCGTCAATTTCGTCACTGTTTTCTTCATTTCTTTTTTCCAAAGTTGAAATAGTAGATCTACTAACATAACCACTTTTTTCTGCTGGATTTGACGATGCAGAAACTTTTACAATTCCGCAACGGAGAATTTGCCGTAGTGCATATTCCGCTGCCCTGGCATCTGTTTGATCCTGCGAACCACCTCTCAATCTGATATGGGAAAATGTAGCTTCTATAGCATCAGAACTAAATGAACGTGTCAACACGTAATAAAATCCTGCTTGGGTAAGCAAAAACTTGATGCATAAGTAAGTACTTTTAGAGGTGAACTGAAGTGCATGGGCAGTCTCTTTACTAAGTCCCTTTAAACCAATCCGCGCTGAACAGTTCTGGATGTCTTCAATATAATTTGGAAACGTGATATTTAACCAATGGAGACGTTCATCATCAACATTTATAAACGGAGCAACGCTGCTGTCTAAAGAATGAATATAATGTTGTTTGTTTGATACATTATGCACTTGAAAAAAATTATACATCATTTCCATAAAGTTTACAGTGCTGGAGACTCCTGAGAAATTACTGTCACCTGAATCTTTTAAAAATCTTAGTGATGAAGTAACTGTAGGATGAAATACTTGAATTGCTCTTAGTACGTTCATCTTTTCGAAATTTGATGGGAATAAATGTTTTTTCGTAGGTATTTTACAGGTTTTACAGGCATATCCTTCTGTAATTCATAAAGTTGTTTGAGATAACCTGACGAAATCATGCCTTCTGAAGAAAATAAATTATGATCTAAAAACAAATTTCTGGTATTTTTTATGGCATGACAGAAATCAAAACTCAAGAATAATGGAAGTTGTTCTAAAATAGGATGATTAATGCAATTTTTTAGAGAGTCATCACCAAATTTTTTGAACAGGGCAACATTTATTGATGCGTTATCTGTAACAAGTCTCAGAACAATAAATCCACAATCTGTTACAAATTGTAACACATTCTTAGTCAGTGAATATAACTCATCTGCCGTCAACGTAGAATGGAAGAAGTAACCTGTAGGTATGGTATACCTTGTGGACAATCCGTGTATCACAAAACAAAGCATTTTGTTTGCTACTTTAGGTTTTTCACCAATTGTTTTTTCAGGTTTTGATGTGTCAAGACCATAAATTCTATCTTCTGATCGGCTATAATGTAGTTTTTCAGTGATTGACATGTCATCTAGAATTAAAGAGCAGACTCTTTCTATTGGTTGAGATAGTTGTGCTATCTCTGTACATAAACGTTTCTTAATTAGTTCATTTTGCCCCTGGTAATCACCTATGTACCTTGAAATGGTGGCTTTGGAGGGTAGTTTAATCAAATTGTTATGACAAAATTTATAGCCTTTAGGGCTGCAGAATCTCCATACTGTACACATACGGACGGTAATTTCTGACCATCTTGGTATTTTTTTATTATAATTTTTTAGAATGTCTAAAATAAATAAAGATTTCAATGTTTAATGTTTTTAATGTAGTGACCTGTTCTTCCAAATGATTTACTTTTGATAGACATTGCGAATATTTTGCCTGCATTCTCTTAAGCTGTAACTTTAATACCTTACATTGATATTTGAGATCCTGAAACTCTTTGTTTTCATCAGACTGCATTTGTGAAATTTGATTAGAATTTTGTTGTTCTAAAACTACAGTCGGCTTTGGACCTGGTAGGATGTTAGTAGAATCAGTAATCTGAAATATATAAGGCTATAGTAAAGTGTATGTTGCCAACGGAAATTTGTTTTTATCTACGTTAAAAGTGGGAACTGCGTTTTTGCAAAGGCGCATTCGTTTTGCTTTGGCATCGAAACAGTCTCTTCCAAAATGGTTGGAACATAACACTGTGTAATCACTTATTTTACTCGAATCTACAATAATGTTTTAACGAGTTGTTACATTTTTTCCATTTTACAAACCACAATACTAATTTTAACGACTCCATCCATTTGTTTCGCACATTAACATCATTTGGAATGCTAAAAAATGGTTTTTCTGCATTTCCGCAAACAAAACATTTTCGTCCCATCGTGGAAATATCAAATGAATTTGAAAAAGTCAAATTTACATTTGAAAATGATAGTTCACGTAGAGCTATGGAGATGGTGCAGTCGTATGTTCACCGCGGCCTCCTTTGCGGGAACAACTTTTTACAAAATTGAAACGGCCTTATCTCGAGAGATCGATGGAGTTGGTGATGTAAAAAGTATCACTTCATTTACAATTTCAAAAATTGATTCGTGTACGCAATATTGCAAACTGTGTAGTTTGCTCAAATCGTATAATCGTGAATCGCAATAAGAAAAAAAAGTCGATATTTAAATTATAAACACGATGATTTGTTACAGTTTTTATTTTATTAGGTACTTATACAATTTGACAATTCGCACATTCTTTCCCTGAATACTTGAGGTTTAATTATCATTGTAAAAATAATGTAATAAATACATCTAAAAAGAAAGAGGTTTTTAAGAAAAAATAAATAAATAAAATAAAAATTAAATTACAAAAAGGAAAAAAGTTAATGCTGGCAAAGAGAAATAAACAGACAGGCATGATAATGTAATTATGGTAATTACTTTATACAAGAATAAATATAAAAATAAGAACAGCACCTGTTAAATTGTTTAATAATTTCAAAAATTTTACGAAAAAAACGCATTTTACCTAACAACTTAACCCGTAAACGTAATATCATATAAAGTAAAATTTTTATTTAAAAAAAAAATATTACAAAAAAAAATACATATTTGTCGACTCGCATAAAGTGCAGGTAATTGGTATGGGTCGACGCAGGTAAGAATAATTAAGGAATTCATGAAACCGGAAGTCCATAGGCATTAAGCGAAAAAAGATATTTGACAAAATGTACGGCTTGGGTCATTTTTACCCACGTGCGACTGCTTATGGGTTAAGCAACGTCTCAAAATAAAACTCAAGATTGTGTAGGTCAAAAAAAATATATATATACATGATGAATAAAAAAATTGTTTATTGAGTGAAGGTCTGCTTATATAATTTTTTGTTACGTGTAGTTTGTTTCTTATTATTTTTATATTTAATTTTACCACAACAACGGAATCATATATAATAAATTTTTTATATTTATTTCATAACCACCGTTGTTGTTCGTTTGCGACGACTTTTTAAACAAAAAGTGTGTTATGTTTACTATCTTTTCCAAGAATTCCAAAGACGAGGGAGAGAATAAGGCGCACAACAGGGATCCTGTATGAAAATTCATCGGACAAAGATTTTACCTTTTATTGTGAAAATTACATTTTTATACTATTTGTACAATTCCACTGGAAAAGCAGTCTTAAACAAGCAAAACCGGCAAAAATATTGTAACAAAACTGCCAAATTTCAAATATTTTAGACGTCAGTTGGGCGCCCTCATTCGGTCATAAAGCGAACGACCACCCACGAAAACGGGTCACGAAAAACGGCGAGCCGTCTCTACTGATTGATATCTATGCTGTGTTGTAGGTTAGGAAATAAAGCACTTCAACACAGTACTCGGGCGTGTTTACTGCAATTAGATCTTATGATGTTAACCATCTTTAGGTCGTCTGCGTATATGAAACATTTGCAGTTGTTTTACAACATCATTGAAGAAAATTGCAAACAGCAAAGGACCCAAGTTAGAGCTTTGAACAGCCCCACTATTTACAATAAACTCAAAAGACTTAAATCCAGCATACTCAACGAACTGCCTTCTTCCCATAATCATTGATTTTAATATGAGTAATACTTATACTATCACAAAATCCATATACAGAGTCATCAAAATTGATTGAGAGAGTTGGTAAACCTGAACTTGAATAATTTGGTTTATTAAGTTGTATAAAAATATTAGCTGTCAGATCTGAAGTTTCAATTTTCAAATTTCAAAACTCAGTGGAGTCTTTTTTCGTTTTTTTTTTTTTATATTAGTTGTCAGATTTCAAGTTACGAATTTTAGATCCGTTCATTTCTGGAATTTATTCTCAAGGATGCAAGTAGCAATAAGGCATAGGGTGCGCATCGACCAAGGCGATTCGTACCAACGTTAAAACCGTTCGCAACTTTCCAAGAAGGTAACTTTCGTATTCGCAACTGATTCAGGTGAGTTCGACAATCAACCCCCAGTTCTTTTGTGACGCCACTGAATTCATTGCCATATAACCTTAAAAAAATCTGTCATAAGGTTGACAAACTTCACGACAAAAACAGGGAGTACCAACTCTCTCAATCAATTTTGATGACGCTTTTGTCAAATCCGTGTATAGCACATCTACCTGCAAACCATCATCTAAAGCAGTAGACATAAACTGAGTAAATTCATATAGATTTGTGACAGTCGATCTTCCTTTGACAAAACCATGTTGTTCTTGTACTATATAGTTTATAACATGAGAATATATAATGTTAGATAAGATACATTCAAATAGTTTTGCAAAGTTTGACAATAGGCATCTTGCATCTTTTTGAGTAAAGCCAGAAAATGATTCAGCAGAACTCGTAAAAAGTGTATGTGATTATTTATAGTGCGGCAATAAATTATTAAAAATTAATTTTGAAATCACGCGCACTTTTGGGCGTGACGTCATAAGCCATACATTGTTGCCAAGTCGATGATGTTTGCCTATTAATATAGGGATTTTTGTGGTCGGCTGTACTGTCAAGTGCAGGTCTGCCAAAAAACAGCATTGGACAAAATAGCGCACGATTAAAAAGCTGCGACAAAAAAGCGCCGAGACAAAAAGCGCTGTAAAAAATGGCGTAGGACAATATCATTTTGAGTCTAAAGGGCGCTAGGTCAAATTAGCATGCGACTAAATAATCTGCGACAATTAATCATTTTAATTGTATTATGTATTGTCTTATTATTACTAGGCATATAAAACACGTCAGAAAAGGGTAGACAAGCGAGCATGATGTCCTGATGTGAATATTAATGTGAATATTGACGTAAATGTTAAAAATTACCTTTCTCTTATACCTGCTTATATTCAGTCTATTATTAGCATTGTTTGGCATTGCTAAAATACATCAATATATCATCGAATAAGTTATTTGTTTCAGTATCTTATCGAATGAGATACTGATTGCTAAGAGACCAGTATTTCATTGCTTTACGAATTTACTAATAAACCACTATTTATCATGAAAATGTACAACGCATTTATGAAATTCAAAAACTGGTGCAGAACCAGTCGATGGTCCTTGAAGTTCAACGGAGTGGTTCTCCTTCGTCGCCGTTTCCACACCATTTTCCACAACATCACATGAAGACGCACTGACAGAAGAATCTATTAGTATTTTTCGGGCCATTTTTATCTTCTGCTCTAAAGAATCTTCCACGTAGCCTGTTGCAACTTTATCAGAGGACCATCCACCAAACCCTTTAAGCGTGGTCATGTCAGCTCCCTGGTCCGCCAAAATAGTTGCTGAAGATCGTCTTAAACAATGACCCGTGTATTGTTGCCTACTCGCTGTACTGTACATTTTCCATTGCGCATTCCTAAAAATACATAGGGATGTGTGACTTTCGATGGTCGGAGAGCCGCATATTTTCTATATAACTCTACACCATTTACACAGCTTTCGGACAAAACCGTAAATACACGCTTCTGGTGAATTTTCGTATGCGGAAGTATAACAACTAGGACATTTCCTTCTTCTCGAATATTCGTTATAGTTTTAAAACATAAAAGCCTGTATGTACCTTCATCATGAGAAATTTTTCGTCAGGAGCTTCTTTCAAGGATTTCAATATTTCCTCTCTCCTAAGCACTTTTGACTTCTTGGCTTCATAACCAACATGCTTCTTTTTTAAGAACGCTGTCAGCCGACAATAACTGCTAATGTTTACATTATCATAAGCTTTCAAGCTTCCTTTCAACCTAAAGTATTGGGACCATAGGGTAGATGACTAGTATCTTTCCGCCTGTCAGAACAATTTTACTATTAACAAAAGTACAAAGAAAAATTAAAAACCTTAACCTGGTCTGCAAAATACGCCAATAACACTTCCTCACAAACAACGTCGGTTGACCTGTCCCTCAGCCATTGCTTAAACAATTGATATTCACGATCGTATAGCTCTTTGGTAGTATCAGGAAGCAAATTCTGCAGCACACTTAATGCCTTTTTACGGATTTCTTCCGGAATTTCCATTTTTTCTTTGATAAAACTTGATGACAGTTTTTTTTAATTCCACAATTGTTTATTTACAGTGCTGTCATAGTAACTGTCGCCAACTACATATTTTTATTCCGAATATATTGAAATTTTATGTAGGAAATTAAAGAATATAAGCAGGTATAAGAGAAAATTTAATATTATACACATGACAAAAATGCCAGTATAGGCTCGTGAGTCAGTATAACACTCGCACTATCGTGCTCGTGCCATACATA